GTGTTTCCAAGCGACTTCGATTTCTGCTGGGAGCCAGTGCAAAAACACAGGTCTGCCCGGCTTTGTGTTCGTACATTCAAGATACTTGGTCCGAGGTTCAACGATGGGCCAAACGTCATTTCGTACCAAATGTGACTTTTGAATGCTGGCGATGCTTTATTTCTGACCAATGGTCAAAACATGCTGTGTACAGTCAAACTCCCCTCTCTTTCGAGGACATCAAGTACATCAAGTATGTTGTTGACGGCTTTGTTGTGCAAGGTCAGGACCACGCTCCCAACCACCTGCACGTCTTCTGCCCCAAGTTTTACTGGAAGGTTTTGAAGATCAAGCCGTGTATTCGCCGTCACGCCTGACGCCAACACAAGCACGAGCTCTTTCTCGGCCAGTTAGCAAAGAAAAACTGGCTAAAGAAGTGTCGTTGGGGAGTCCAGGAAACAGCGAAGCTACCCTGCTCCTACCTTCTTCTAAAACAGAAGAAGCGATTTCTGACCGCACGGCCAATACTTTCCTTTCGGGGATTTGCCTTTGGTCGTCTTTTCCAGGCGGCGAGCAGTGTGCTCAACATCATTTTGCCACTGGTCTACCCGGATAGCTATGGGCATCAATCGTTACCGGAAATCTTCCGCAGCCTCCACCGGTTTCTTTCCACGGCGGCGAAGACATTGAATTCAAAGAGTTCAATCAAGATCTCGTGGGCTTCTTCACAAGCCTGCATCTGAGATTTCCGCTGCATCAAGCACGAGCCGATGTACAGATTCTGGTTCGTATCTTGCTCTCATTATGGCTATGATGCCCAGCTTTTCCTTAATGCTGCGAACTCTTTTCTCCGACAGAGGTCTTCACCATAGCATCCAAAAGAAATGCTGAGGTGGCCTTTCAGTGAGTGAATGTGATGTTGCAATGTGTACTTTTCGGTGTTTCAGCGCTTGGTTCAAGCTTTTGTGAATCGAGCTATGTCGTATGTTTTCAGTTTTTATGCGGGGCTTCCTGCCGAGGGACAAACAATCCCACACCGGCACCCTCGCCACGGAGAGCCATTCGAGCTCGTTCTGAGGGGCACGCCCCCCGACGGCGACATCGTCACAGACGACACCACCGGCATCGATCTCGAAGCAGACACGATGCCCGCCAAGGTGATTTACAAAATCCAGTTGGTGCGCCTTCGCCTAGAGCAGCTGCACCATCCCCAAGGCCAAACACATCCCCGCCTGGGGATTGGAGGATAACCCATGGTGCTGCTCCTTTTTGGCCGTCACCTCCTCCTTTTACACAGCCTCCGCCACCTCGTTCGAACATACGACGGTGCGTGCAAAATCTGCACCAGCAAAAGCACACGAACCCTCACCCGTCGACCTCGTGTTTGGTTCAGCAGCCACCCATGGCTGCCAGCCAAAGCGGGAACAAGACCTAGCCAAAGGCCCCCCGCCAGTGTTCATTCTGCTTCCAATCAAGCACCAGTAACTCCGCCAACAGCTGGCTCTTCCTCGAATCCTCGTCTTTTTGGGGAGCCAAAGGCTGACCGAGACCTCTTCCAAGAATCCTCGTCCCTTCGGCAGCCCAAGGCTGAACCGGGGACAAGGGACAAGAAGCATGAGCCCGGGCGGTCGTCCACTGGCCCACCTCCAGCTACTGCCAAGACAGCTGACGAAATGTTGGACGAGGAGCTTCGGAAATCGAATGCTCAGTCCCCTAAGGAGCAAGACGAAGAGGATTTTGAACAGCCCTTCGCGGATGCTCATGCCGCCACAGGTGCAGAGCCACTCCAACAGAGTGGCATGGCGGAAAGTTGCGCTATCGCAACAATCCTTTTCCTGACTCCTGGCTAATTTTCAAGCACTTCCAGATGCGGGAAATTCGTGATCGAAAGCATGCTGTTTTAGCATGGTGTCGGCCATGGACAACAATCTCAAAGGCTGAGATTGATGAGGTATGCCTTTCACTTCTTTCTCTTTTTGCTGAAGCCCCTCCACCTCAGTCCATGAACAGCGGTATTTGCAGGACTTTTGCAAGGGTCTTGATGTCGGCGAGAGTAACAGTCGCCAATCATTTCCAGCCAACAGCCAAGAGCTATGAAATGCCGGGCTGTAACAACAAACTGTACTTCTCTGAAGTTCAGTCTTTTCCTGGACCTGAGCCTCCGGGACAAGCCCACTTAGCCTGGGCTCACTGTTCGGATGTACCTGGATCAGTCGGCATTCTTGCGTCTGGTCGAGTTATTCGCACGGCTGCTTATACTCTTGGTCTCAGAGAAGACCAAGAGTCCATGCCCTTCATCGGTCGCTGCCACACAAACCGGGCATGGACCGAGAATTTTATCGAATGGGCTGCCAATTTAAATTGGAGCACGAAAAACAGCTCCGGCATAGTATTTGGCGGGTACTTATATAGGAGGACAGTTCGTGAGGAGCCCCTCCGCCAATACACTTTTGGAGAATTCCATGTGTCGGTATCACCCAGCCATACATTCGATTTCAAGAGCAAACGCTGGGCGATAAGGGAGTCAGCTGCTCGCATAGATTACATTTTCATCGTTGCGGACCAAGACTCTGCTGACTTCCCAGCTCCCAACATGTTGCCGATGATCGCTGATAAAATCAGCCAGAGAACCATCCAGGACACAGAAGCCTGGGGAGGATGGCGAGGATAGCGGCCAAGTTCAGCATCAATTCAGTGCACATCACTATAGATTTCCAGCTTCGCTCGTCGAAAAAACAGCCAGCAACATCACATTGCAGTTCAAGTTTTACCTGTATGTGTGTTTTGGCTTGCTTTCATTGTTCAAGACCGCCGTTGCTTAACAAGCAAGCCAACCCTGCTGCCGATTCGCCTCCTACTTCCACCTCTTCCTGGCATCCGGCTTTCGACTTTCAGTCTGAGGCGTCACTTCCAAAGAGCAGCAAGAAACGTCTCAAAGACGTAAAATCCACAAAGATCAAGAAGAAGAAGAAAACAAATAAGTCAAACAAGACTTCCACACCGCTCAAGCAGCAGATCGAAGATGATCCGGTTGTTGATCTTCTTTGTAAAAACAAAGAAGAACCCTCAGCAGAAAAGCAAAAACCTTCTGCTTATCTCGGTCGTGGAGTTGCGAAGATGATGGCTCGTAGTGGCCTTCGCTGCCCGTGTCGCTATGTTCGCAAGCATCTGTGTCCTGTAAAGCTTATCCGAGATGAGTTTGGTTTCACCAAGTGATACTTTTTCGAATAAGGAACACAATCAGCGATGTCATTAAAACATTGCTGCCGCACTTGTACGGTTTTGTCACAGTTCTCTCGCCGTTATTGCTGTAATTGTGGGCTTTCAGCGAGGACTCATCATGTCGGACCGTAGCAGGTCCCTGTCTCCGCAGATTTCATGGCGTTTCTACTGGTCCAAAACGGTAGCAGCCGATGGTCAAGACCGTTGGGGAAAGACTTGGTTTCCTGCTACACAACAGTGGCTAAGAAGTCGCCTTGCTGCGGACAATTTGTGGAGCCAAAACTCCAAATCCGGCGAGCCAATCAAAGCTGAGTCGCATGGTACGGCTACAAGGTCTGAGTCGCCTCGGAAACGAAAAAAGAGCACATCTCCTTGAAAGTCCAATTTTTTGTAAGTCATTTCGCTCTTGCCAACAATTATGCTGGCCAACCTTATGCAGTATGTTTGCTACTCCTCAAATTGGAGAGTAGCTGTGTGTGTGTGTGTACAACCCTGATAGCAAAGGGACTAGCATCTTGGTGCTTTTGAAAAAGCAAGGGGGCAGTGCATGCCTGACAGTCACTGCCCAACGAAGACAGTGTCAGTGCATGGTGATATTTGGCCTGATCAGCCAGACGTACCTGCATCAGAATTTTTTCAGTGCTGACTGCATAGGGCGTAGGATGTAGCCAACGTTTAGCTTCTCTCGCGAGGGAGTTTCCAAGTGTGCGGGTGTGGGTGTCTGTGTGTGTGTGTGTGTGGGTGTGTGGGTGTGTGGGTGTGTGGTGTGTGGTGTGTGGTGTGTGTGTGTGTGTTGTGTGTTGTGTGTTGTGTGTTGTGTGTTGTGTGTTGTGTGTTGTGTGTTGTGTGTTGTGTGTTGTGTGTGTGTGTGTGTGGTGTGGTGTGGTGTGTGTGGTGTGGTGTGTGTGGTGTGGTGTGTGTGGTGTGTGGTGTGTGTGGTGTGTGGTGTGTGTGGTGTGTGGGGTGTGTGGGGTGTGTGGTGTGTGGTGTGTTGTGTGTTGTGTGTTGTGTGTTGTGTGTTGTGTGTTGTGTGTTGTGTGTTGTGTGTTGTGTGTTGTGTGTTGTGTGTGTGTTGTGTGTGTGTGTTGTGTGTGTGTTGTGTGTGTGTGTGGTGTGTGCGTGTGTGTCTCTGTGTGTGTGTGTGTGTGTGTCTCTGTGTGTGTGGGTGTGTGCGTGTGTGTGCGTGTGTGTGCGTGTGTGTGCGTGTGTGTGCGTGGTGTGTGCGTGGTGTGTGCGTGGTGTGTGCGTGTGTGTGTGTGTGGTGTGTGTGTGTGTGTGTGTGTGTGTGTGTGTGTGTGTGTGTGTGTGTGTGTGTGTGTGTGTGTGTGTGTGTGTGTGTGTGTGTGTGTGTGTGTGTGTGTGTGTGTGTGTGTGTGTGTGTGTGTGTGTGTGTGTGTGTGTGTGTGTGTGTGTGTGTGTGTGTGTGTGTGTGTGTGTGTGTGTGTGTGTGGTGTGTGTGTGTGTGTGTGTGTGTGTGTGTGTGTGTGTGTTGTGTGTGTGTGTGTGTGTGTGTGTGTGTGTGTGTGTGTGTGTGTGTGTGTGTGTGTGTGTGTGTGTGTGTGTGTGTGTGTGTGTGTGTGTGTGTGTGTGTGTGTGTGTGTGTGTGTGTGTGTGTGTGTGTGTGTGTGTGTGTGTGTGTGTGTGTGTGTGTGTGGTGTGTGTGTGTGTGTGTGTGGGTGTGTGTGTGGGTGTGTGTGTGTGTGTGTGCGGGTGCGGGTGTGCGCGGGTGTGTGCGCGGGTGTGTGCGTGTCTGTGTCTGTGTCTGTGGTTGTTGTGCGTCAGTTTCTCGCTGCGGGCAGGATGAGGCCTCCGATGACGACATTGCCAGAGTTCTTACGCAGCTGCTGCTTGCAAGACCGGAGGCGGAGCCAACTCTGAGCTTTGGTCGCATCGAGCAGTGGCAGTGAGCGCAAATCAAGCTCATGCGGGTTCGTGTTGTTTCAGTGATTCGGCCGGAGGTGTTGTGTTCATACTTGCTGTGAGGTTGGCTGTCCTCAACTGCGTTGCCGCTATCCCTGGCGAATTCGGCAGGAAGACACGAGGAGGCCTTGTTGATCCACCTGAGATCGTCGATCTCCCGGAGGCGGCAAGTTCGCTGCGCAAGCTCTTTTGGAAGCTTGTGCTCGTGTGTTCGGAAGGTGTCCCGGGACGTCCCTGTAGCAGACCGGCCGAGGCTGAACAGAATGCGAAGCAAAGCCCATCTGAGATGGACTCGTGTGAGGCTGCGCTTTGCGACGTGCAACTATTTCGTGGGCGAGGAGGAACTCAAAGTTGAAGTACAGGCAAATTCTGTGGTTGATGGATCACACCTGGAAATTCAATTTTATTTGACAGGTCTTGCGGTCCGGCAATCTGAACTGCGAGCCTGTGCCTCAAGATGTGAAGACATCTGCTCATCTCCTGCCGCTGCTTTGGTATGGAGCCGCTTGGAGATCCGGAAAGAGCACAGGTCCAGAGTACAAATGCACACGCGGGATCTATCTGCAAAGGCCAGTTTCTCGACAAAGCATGCATGCTCATTGACACCGCTGTACTTTGTCAGTTTGCGGCAACAGATTGCACACTTAAGCAGATCTGCTGCGCCCCATAAGAAGCGAAAACTCACGTGGACAGGCTGGCATTAACTACGTGCACACGAGCAAAATGCTTCTTGCCTCGCAAGTGGCTGCACTTGTTGTATCTTGTTGTCGCTGCCCCTTCTGGGCGTTGCATGGCGTTGCTGTGCACCGTTGCTGTGGCATTTGGATCGGTTCCCTGACTTGCATAAAATTGCATGTCTACTGGGTGGTAACGACCTGCAAGAGGTGCTGTAGCACACACATTATGCGGCGTCTAGGATGCGATGCGCGACAGAACCCGAGGCTTGTTCTGAAGCCTCAAGCGGAAAGCATCCTTTTCAGCGTGGACCTGATAGCTCTCGGCTGAGCTTGCTGTCGTTGCAATTTAATGTCAAGTCTCTCGGTTTGATTTTTGTTCCTGCTGCAACCCTTAGGCAAGCGATGAGTGGTCGCCCACCCTCGAATTTGAGGTGATGCCCATGGTTAGATTCGATTTGTCTCACAAGCGGCATCCTCAATTCGGGCTATTAAGGTGGTGCTTGATCCGACAACGGTGACAAATGCCGACTTGGACGCCTACGGAGCCCGCTCTCGTGTTAAGATAGATGACAAGGCCCCATGATGTGATTTGGCACATGCTTCACAGGTTTCTGTTTGTAGGAAACGGTCATGTTGAAGCCATGTTGTGCAAAGCACTTAGCCAATGTTTCGACAATGCTGGCTTCAGGACGCCTTCCCTTCGAACGTGGTGGACGTGCGACAACTTGCCAAGAGTCTTTCCTGGGAACATTTAAGGCTGAGTCCAGCCCACATTCACCCGGCTTGCTTCGTTCCAACGATTACTCGTAAAGCATCTACCTCTTCGCAGGCAGGCGCTCGAGAATGCTCCAATGCTGGTGCTGATGGCGGAATACTTGAAACTCAACTTCCGCAACGACGTCGTGCGACGAGGCCTCGGCAAGGGAAGGAAAGTAACAAGTGCACACGTGCACCCGAGCGAAGCTTCGAGACTTCCTTCGACATCGCTTTCGAGAGGCACCTTCAAGATGTGCTTGCAGGGCCAATGCCATCACTTATATGGCATCCTAAGGCACCGGAGCTCTCCTCTCTCCGTACTTTGAGGCTCAAAGAACCAAGCTCAACATTTGTTTGGCTCAGGCTTTTCCTCAGCGTGCTGCTGGTGGACCGGGTTCTAAAAGGTAGTGAGGAGGATTGGATGGTGGGGACCACCGACTCCTTTAGCGAGTGGTTGTTCCACACCCGCCCTGGACTCAGTCTGCAAGGCGCAGCAGGTTGGCCCCTTTCTTGCTGATTCTGATTACCAGCTGAAAGCCGAGCAGGGGTTGTGACGTTTCTCAGGCCCCGGGATGCTGGTGCTCGTCATGAGTGGCATGCTGATTCCGTTCGTTGGCCTGCACTACTTGGACTTCATTTCGATGACTTGGAGAGTAGGCAGATTTGGTAGTAAGTGATAGTATGGGCGGGCAACTCTGTGATGCACCCGTCAGGCGGAACATCGCGTGCCCAGCTCTTGTCAGCGCTTGTTCGCAGACTCCTCCATTATGATGTGACTTCCAGGCAGGGATGTCCGGGGCCAGGGAAGTGGATGTGGCAGAAACGAGACGTCATGAAGGTAACGCCCCCATGCAACAAAGCCGATTGCCGTGCCTGGTTCCCCGGCTGCTTCGAAATCCCATGCGCGATGCATTGGAACATGTTGGAACGAAGGATAAGCAATGACAGCCACGGCAGCTGGCGAACTAGAGGGAGTGGACGTATAAACGACCAACGGGCCTGGGGTCACGTTGCCGCCGGAACAAAGCCCAGCAAGAGGTGATAGCAAAACATGGACCAAGAACGCATTCTTGTGTTGTATTGATTCTTGGAAACCGCAACCTACCTGAACAATGGAAGGGCAGAAGAACAGTAGGGGTTGGGCAGTGGCTGGGTCATACATCTGTCATACATTGTCAGACCAGGCCCGACGTGAACCACACAGCATTCCGCAATCTCCGGATCCTTTCTATGCAGGGCATGTGCAACCAAGACCCTGCGAACAAACTTCAAAGCACCTTGACCATCCTCGCCTGATTCCTAGGTGCTGGGTGTTCGCAGCTGTAGCAAGATGTAGCAAGAGATCATACGAGAATGCACAGTGTGAATCGCAACTGCCCACGATTCATGCAGAAACCTCTCCCTGAACAGTCGTGGTCGTGGTGAGCGCTCGGCTAACTCGGCTATGCCCATGCAGATTTTACAGCGACCACACGCGTTCTAGCCTCAGTGTAACAGTGTAACCTTTGTGTGTGTGTGTGTGTGTGTGTGTGTGCAATCGTGGTAAGTACTCGGCCATGCAAGCTCTGCTATTATATTGTCACCACACAGGTTGTGGCAGTTGTACACCCTGACAGTGTAAACGATGTGTAAACGGCATCTTCGTGGACGTGGCATTGCGATAACATGGCTTTCTGCATGCGCTACCTCCAGGATATACCTGGCAAAAAGCAAGGTCCTCCGTCCTCTGTGATTTGAGGAAGATTGAAAAAAGCCCGCACACAGCAACACCGACGACAAACAACTGAATCAACATTATGCGCTGCTTCTGGGCAAGAGTAGTACTATAACTCGCGCACTGGACAGGATAGATATCAAGCAAGGAGCCGAGATAATGGCCATGACCAAGGACCGAAGAAGGGACTTTGAATTTGCAAGGTTCAGCGACACAGCTTCGAATCACCTGACTCACCAGGATGTTGATGATATCGTGCAGAACGGCTACATGGGCGTTTTGGAAATTATCTCTCATCTCCAGAATTTGGCAACTGCAAACTCCCGAGCAGCGTGCAGATAAAGATTTCGGAAATTCCCCTGCAATTACGACTCTTGAGGTCTTGGCGTACCAGGTGATATCGCGCCTGATCCTGCAAGAACCCATCAGCCCGTGGAGTATTGCTCCACTCCTGATTCATCCAATACTGCTTGCAATGTTTGCGATTTGCCGCAGCTCGTCCAAAACCTTGCACACGCGTTGAAGAGCGAAAGGAGGCTAGTTTTGCGGCTGCCAATCAGCTTCACCAGATGTAGCCGAGGTCGGTCTGCAACCGTCAACGTGCAACAGGTCGAAAATGCGGAACGGTCTGCCCTTGTCAGCCAGATGCAAAATGCCACGGCCTTGATTGTTCGATTCCTCAAGCGGTGAGGTCTTCTTGTCCTGCAGCTTCAACAACTGCGCCAGGTCACCCTGAATAACACGATCATTCGCAACCTGGGTGGGGTTTGGAAAGCCATCGACCAGTTCGAGAGCCGGGTCGCAGGATACAACACAGCGGTGAACAGCACTCTGCAAGTCATGAAGAACAACATCTATTTCACGAACTGGGTTGGTCTGGCTATGTTGGCAGCGCACGGCTCTCAGAAAAGGACGAAACAGTGTTACCCAGTGCCAGAATGCATTGGACACTCTTGGATTGACACTTCTTAGGTACACGCTGGTCGGTGGTCTGGAGGTCGTGGATGGCAAAATGAGGCCTGGCTCAGTCAAGATCTAACGACTCAAGGCAATGCCCAGCTTTCTGCCTTGCTACAGGATGGGACTTTTCCTTGCGGATATCACCCTGTTCACTCAGATCAATGTGACATGGAGCATGATTTGCAGCTCCATCCTCAGACCCAAGCGGCATTATTCAGAAGCCACCGCAGCAGTGCCCGGTCATTTTTGCAGGCAGAGGCGTGGAGATCAACAGCATCTTTCCTGGATTGGAGAGAGTCGGAGTCCCAGCATTTCCCAGCAACCCAGTCGCAATATTGCAGTTGAACGCTCCAAGTCTTTAAGGTCGTCATCTTGATGAACTTGCCAACCGACCTCCCGGAGCGAAGGAGGCTTCTCAGGCGGGACTGAATAAGCCGCGCATCTCCCAAGACTTATTCAGAAACATCGGAGCTGGAGCAGCCCAACCAGCAAGGGCTGCGACTTGTGCTCAGAGCTTGCAGCATTTAGCAGTGGCACGAAAACACGCATGCTTGACAGATATACTAGTGGCTACTTGCAAGGCATATTGTTCTATGTGTTTGGAAATTGGCCGTCGATCTTTATTTGACGAGACGTGCTGGAAAGACCCGGATCCTGTGATGTGCAGTGGTGTCTCATTGCTTGGTTCTTTGCGCGCGTGCGAGGAAGTCCTGCCCGAGCCACGAATTTCAGATTTCGTGCCCGTGGATCTGTGCAAGGGCAGCTGTTTTGTTGTTGTAGTTCGTTACGTGCATCACCGGCCTCCCTCTTGGAGTACACAAACGCGGAGATTCGCAAGAATACGAAAACCATGTCCCCACCAGACGGTGTGCACAGATGTGTTTGGTCGACCACACAGAAAATGAAATAGTCAGCATGTAGCACCCTCCTTGATCTTTTCAGTGCTGTTGCGGGGCGCTTCAACGCAGGCTGTGTAACTCGCCAGAAGTTGGTATGCTTAGACCTCATATGTTTTCTAGCTTTGGCTACTCAGCGTGAGCATGAAATGCGATCGAAGCCATCGCGCTGAGAGAGAGAGAGAGAGAGAGAGAGAGAGAGAGAGAGAGGGCGTGCAAGCAAGCAAGCAAGAGAGAGAGAGAGAGAGAGAGAGAGCCCGCACTGGCAGCAACACTCACACAGGCCTCCACCAAACCAGCAGTAGTTCACGAAAGCACTCCCAGACTCGGGGCCAACTCGGAACAACGACAACGCTAGTTTCCGGAATCTCACGGCACGCCATGGCACGCCGTTTGGTACACTACACAAGTCAAGAGGGGCCCAACTTTGTTCCCTACGTGGAAAACCCACGGCATAGGAACTAATAGGAACACAGAGGCAAACGTGCTCGGCAAGGCGGGGAACAACTAGGTCACGTAGCTACTACTTTACCGGGGGCATTCTGCTGTTGGGGACCAAGCCTAGCCGAGCACCAAAACAAACGTTTCACACCAAACACAGACACTGGCGTAGCGCTCGCGCGCAGGGGGTGCAGGGACCTGTGCCTTGCCTCCACGCCTTGCAAGCAAGCAAGCAAGAGAGAGAGCGTGTGTGTGCGTGATGAAGTGCAGAGTCTCTGATGTTCTATAAGCAGGCTCTCAGCACGCTCTTGCTAGCCGCGAGCATCCTATACTTCCGCTGTTCAACTGCGAAACTTGCAATCAGATTTGCCATGAGATCGCTTTTTGTGTTACAGTGGCGATGGGCCAGACATATTCATGTCGTGATGGTGCCTTCGGGCTGTGAGGGAGATGCATATCCGGGCCTGCCAGGCACTTGATTACAACATCGACGACGCTGCGAAGCATACGCGACGTGAAGGACAATCAGGTGTTGAATCTCGATGATCTGCCTTTGTTCCTGAAGGCCTTGTTTTGCTTCAGCTTCCTTTACTTACTCTTTGCAGTCTACATGGATGACTGGGCATGCCAGGGCCCGCGAATCGAATTTACGGTGAAGTCACAGCAGGGCGAGTTTTTCATCCGAAAGGTGGGCTGCAAAGTCGAACGTGCATTGGAAAAGGCATCTTCCAGCGGCAGCATCGGCCGGCATTTGCTCCGAGGTCGACCTGCAGCTCTCTGGTGATCTTGTCGTGAACCAAGGGGAGCAGCGGTCTGAGACACGTGCACTGCGTGGGCAGGGTCGGCAGGCTCGCTTTTAGAAGCCAGAAGGACCGAAGGACATAGTTTCATCTAGCGGTGGTTTGCCAAGCGTCTCCGAGGTTTATTGCACTGGTGGGACTACATGGTCATGGCAAGTCGTCCATTTTAAAAATGTTCGGCGGAGAGCTTTTACCTGGTGATGGCGACCCATCCGCATTGAACTGCTGCGCGCCGCGGAAGATGAGTTTGATTGTCTTGCAAGGCAATCTCCCCGGCTTCTTCGTACCACCTCATCTCCGAGTCTCGTGCCTAGTTCGCCCCAGTCAAACCCCCATGCCGCTTTAGCAGTGAGTGCTTTAGATTGCGAGCTGCAGTTGATGCTGCTGTGTGGTGCACCAGGTTTTACATGTTGGAACCGAACCTGGTCTTTTCCATGGCACGCTTTACGACAACCTTGTCTTTGGCGTGGATGGAGGAGGAGGCGAGACAAATCAGCTGCACCGTAGCGCAGCGTATGTCTACATAGCATATCACTGCATGCCCAGGTGCCGAGTATCGTGATGCGGCCAGGGAGCGGGCTGCGGTCTCAACACCGTCGATGCTGCCGTCATCAACAAGTCGTCGAACCGAGGTTCGACATGTTTGCCGGCTCCTTGCGCTCCCCAAGGACACGCTGCACAGCACAACAGTTAGGGTCTTCTGCTATGCGCGCAAAACCGGCAATCTGCTGTGAATTCGTATTCGAGCCCAATCGACCGCTACCGTCACCGTCTAGGCTGCCCACTCCAGTCTAAATCATAGGCTGTTGCAGCAGTTGTTGTAAAGCATTGAACCTTTTTCGCCAAACCATGTGCACATCGAAGCCTTGATTTGAGGTGCTGCTCTCGCGCTTTATAGCCTGCGAAGAAGCCTGGACACGTAAACTCGCTGCTCAGAAGGAGATCCTCAATTTGTTGGACCTGCCGGACAAGCTGTGCTGGGACCAGGCAGCTGAAAGAGCCGTTGGTCAGTCGGCAGTTCTAGTCGAGCGGGAGGGAGGGAGCCTCAGAGAAGAAGAAGATACTGGTATTCAATGTCCTAGTGACCCAGCGTGATTGCAGCCGTTGCTGTTGATCTCCATGGCTGCAGCCAGGACAAGTTCATGAAGAAAGGTTGGTAGTGGAAGAGTCCGGTCAGGATGCGATACTTGTACGTAGATACACTATTGCAGGAGTTCTGCACGGCATTAAAGGGCCTTGACGTTGGCGCATCCTTTTGTCATGCGGCATGCTCTACAAGCAGTTGAGGCATAAGCCATGTCTTTTCACGAGACAGGGGTGCTCATGTCCACCACGTTGCATGCATGCGTGCCGTCCTCGTCAACACAGTATAGAAGTATCCGCCCAATATGCCATGTGACAGTGTGGCGTCATTCCCTCAAATTGAAGCCACTCGCATCCTCGTCAGGTCTTTTCACCATGTCAAGGCTTGCGACGCACGGGTGATTAGCAAGACCGGTAGGAATATGTCAAGACCCGGCCTCTTAGGCCTTCGCCAAGGGTCAATTGAGGCCTAGACTCCTGAGCAAGCAAGCAGGCAAGAAAGAAGAATCCCCATGAAAAAGATAATCACAGATCCCAAAGCCCAAGAAAACAGGGGGGCCCTGGTGGGCGGGGGACCTGCGGAAGCAGAAGAGAGAGAGAAGTCTGGGCGGTCGGGGATGCCAGCCTCGTTTGGCTGCGTGGATAAAGATAAGTATGGGCTGTACCCGAGTACCCGCAAACAGCGGATGACCCGAGTGGAGCCTGCAACGGTATTGTGGGTTGGGGTTTTGGAGTGGTGTTCCTGGAGCGTGCAGGGGATTCGCTGGCACCCATATACTAACCCCGCGCAAGAAAGCAAGCAAGCAAGCAATCAATATGAATCTGGGCCTTAGCCTGCAGTTCCGTTGTGAGTGGTTCGTGGTTGCACTGCCCCCGTCTGCAGCGGGATCTTAGGTGCGCGGATGTCCAACGGTGGCAGACCAGGACAGATTCCCCGTAAATGGTGAAGAGGGGAAGGGAGGTGGCAAGGCCGTCCTTCCTCAGGCCCGAGCAAATAAAGAGGAGAGACAGCAAGCACATGCTCACAAAGGCGAGGTGCGATTCGTTTCAAAAAAAGAAAAGAGGACTGCGAGTGATATCTCAACAGATGTTTTTTCAAGAGTTACCGGGGCGGGTCTTGCAGCGGACGCAACAAGATTCAGCTAGATTCTGTAGGCGAGAGAAACAATGTCCCGGGCAGAGGTCTTGTCGCACACTCAACAAGCCAAGCTTGGTTTGGCGAGAGCGCTGGTAGTGGTGCTCTGAGACGGACGAGCTTCCTTGCCACCTTGCACATGTTGAACGTGCAGGTTCTGGAAGTCTGGAAGTGTGTTGGCAAAGCTTGCCCAAGGCAAACCCCGATGTTCTCGTGCTGCACAAGCCTGGGATGCCCTATGACGTCGCGGACTCTTTGGGAGGGAAGCATAAAGCAAAATGCAGGTGTCGGGTTGGAATCTGAGGACCGGACCTCGCACATGGTGTTGGAAGTAATCAAAAGCCACGTTGCGAATCGCGGTCTTGGCTACCCAAGCGACCCCATGACGAGGTCTGTGCTGAGCAGGCGAGAACGGAGAGCCATTGCAATACTTGTCCAGGTCGCCACGTACTTGCTTGTTTACCAGCAGCAGGCTCAGGTTAGAATCTACTCGCAAGAATTGATTTACGTTTCTCGAGCAGACTCAATAGATGATATGCCTGAGGCTCGAAACGATACGGTCTGCAGCTCGCAGATCGAATTTACCTCATAGGGCCTACGGGTGAAATTCGCCAGGCCGCCTGCTGTCATTACGCAAACCGGATTTCGCATTGCCGATCTCGAGCAACCAGAGCACGAAGTGGCCTCTCAAATGTCCGACTGATGCTGCTTGGAAGGTCTCTGCTGACGAAGTCACCGAGGGAATGCTGGCATAGTCAGTGGCCACCCAGTCTTAGGTGTTCATGCCAACGCCAAAGTCAAAGGGGGTCAGAACTTTGGCATGCTAATGACAACAGCAGTGCTTGGTCAAGCCACAAGCACTCAGAGCCAGACTCCGTCATGTGGGCAGTTGTGTGCCTGCAGCGTGCAAGCTGTTTCCTGGCTCGCATGATGGAAGGTGTGCCGACATGACAAAAACTGTGTTGTTTGCCAGCTCTGTTTGCTCGCAATCAATCGTCCCCCCAAGCTGTCAGTCCAACTGGCTGTTTTGTTGCGGCAGGATTTCTTCAACGGCATGTGTTACCCGATGGCGTACCAGGCGCAAGAAGCCGACAACTGCTCCATGCTTACTACTGGCGCAGATGGAGCTAGAATTGGCGGGTAAAGGTGCTTGGGTTCAGCAGTATTGGGCATCTATTGGTACCCCAGTACCCCCATTGATCCAGGAATTCAGACAAGCTATGCCAACAACAGACAAACGAGCTAAAACGTGCAACAACGACAAGCAAAAGATCGCAGGTGGTGAATGTCGGTACGTGTTTAATGTGTGGTGCAGCCGTTTACATGGACTTGCTCGGTGTGCGTGTTGTTGATGCTGTTGATACATATGCTTCATGCATGTGCCCCAGTTTTCCCACATCCCAGATTGTATTCTGACTGTAAACCCCGCCCGAAAATGCTAGCATGAGCTGTGTCTCGTCAGGCAAGGTCGGCCATGCCGACAAACTTCGACTGCGCCACGGCCCAAGATGCGATGTTTGCTGATACGATGGGGTCGCAATGTACCTGTGCCAAACGTGCAGACTAGGCACATACGGGTACACATGATCCGTCCGACTGTCGCAAGCTTGTGTTGGTTCTGGCGAGATTCGAGTGCGCGCAATTGAGACTGACAACATGCATCCGAAGCACTGGACATGCGCATCTACCCATCATGGCACATTTGACAAGCGCAGTAGGAAAAGTGAATATGCGTCATGGAAAGCAGGACTTGGCATACACCCTGGGCTGGTCTGCTGTACACCTGGCCAGCATTGCCGGTGCCAGTCCTTTCGACAAGCAGTGACAACAAATGTGACGCCATGTGACACTGGCAATGCCAGGGGATCATGGTGAACTTGGAGAAGACGGGACAACTGGTGCATGTCTCGCACTTAGAGCCGGTGCCTTAGTTGCCATGCAAATAAGCCCCCTACAGAGGCACAGAGATATGCAAAGACCTGCTTACAAAAAAGATGAAAGTGTTTTTCAGAAAGTCGACGATGGAGTGGAGGGATCCACTCAGTTTGCGAGGGTCTGGATTGGGGGGCTTCTGGCAGCCGAAGATGGGAAGGTCTGGAATGGTTGGCGGTACCAATCTAGACCCTAGCAGGAAGACCAATCTAGACCTTCTCCATGTGGCAGCATCTTGTCACATGTTGTGCATGTTGCATCATGTTGCATTATCCTGTCGCAGGAGGCTGAGAAGGTACCATTTGATAAAAGGTAGAGACTGTGTTGTTCATTAGGTTTGCCATACAGTATCTTCCGACGGACATGGGTGTGGCATTCCATGATTCCATTTAAACTCGTCAACATCCGACGCAGGGTCTGTATAGGGCGAGGGTCTGAAAAGGGTTGTGTAACCCCTACGCAGCCAACCAGATTAGACCCCGGAAAAGGTCTATTATGAGTTAGCAGATACCATTTCCATTTTCTAACCATGCCCCCACCCCCTAGCCCCCAAATCACAACAACCTATACCTCAACACTAATCCAACTCAAGACCCATAGGGGGTACCCTAGGAATAACTCACCCAAAGACCCAAAACCATAACAACCTCAACCCAATGCCCACAAGATGGAACCATTAGAAGACCCATACACCACCACATAGAAAAAACCCACTCTAAACCCCATACACCAACACCCCCATAGAAAAACCCATATTCCCAACCCGAAATCCCTAACCTTAGAAAATGGAAATGGTATTCTCTAATAAAATAGCTATAATAGGAATAAGGTTTAGGGATAAGGTAATAGCCAATCATAACATTATAATATTAATAATGTTATGTTTGTTTAACCCATTAAGACAAACTCAGGTTTATTCATAAGAGTTCCAACAATTTTATTAAAGTCCCTAATGAATACATCTGGATTAAAACCAAAATCCTTTATCTTACTACGAATATCAATATTTTTAATATCCATCCAATCCTCATATATCCATTTGAACACTGTATATCTTTTTGTTGACAATTTCTTGAACAGACTATTTTTAACCCTGTCATAAATGGGAAAGTCATGTTTAGTTGAGAAAATAAGTCTATCTACATCATATACATGTAGTATATTACGTCTGATAATTCCCTCTATCCTCTCCTTCTTGAACTGGCGTTTTTGACAACTACGGCAACAATAAGCAAAGCCGTAAATATTATCAATAATATTTTCTGGTAGTGACAAATCATACAGAGTAGAATAACGTTCGTGTTTCTTACAATCTTTACATTTACAATTCCGTCGCTCTTCCTTGAGTTCCCTGAAGTAGTCGCCAACCTTGACAACATCCAAGAACTGGTTAATAATTTCATCCTGTTCGTGTTGATTGAACATTTCCCTGTTAATATATACAGGTGTTATTTCTTTAGATGTTTTTTCTATAGAAACTCTTTTCTTAAGACCTATCTACAGGAATTTCAATAATTATCCTATCCTTACACTTACCAAATAACATAAAGTAATCTTCTAGAAACTCATCATTCATTAGCAACTGATGGACGTGATTGAATAGTTTGTTAATGTCGGGTTTAGGTTTCTCGGGTTCGGGTTCCTCTTCATCAACAAATTTATTAGGAAATTGTTCGTTTAATCGTTTGCGTATTTCCCTTTTCTGTTTTTCGTATTCTGCCTTAATCTCTGCTTGTAATTCGTCGTTTAGTTTGCCTTCTTTCCTTAAATTGCCTAATTTCCTTAAATAATCTTTCATCAATACATTTAGTTCCGAGTTCGGATGTAACGCATAATGGAAATGGGCATCCCAGTTTTCGTTTTTTATCTTATGTCCGCATTCTTCACATAATTGGCTCCCTTTTGCCCTCTCTTCTCTTCTCGCTTGGTTATACTCGTTTTTGTTTTTACCGTAACATTTTCTTTTCGCTTCACGGCACCTATTACAAGTCTTAAAGCCGTCAAACTCTTCAACATCTTTAGTCGCACAACACGATTTACACACTCGTTTCTCCATCTTACTATATTAAAAAGTCTAGTCTTTAAACACGGTTAGACCGACACAATACTCTAATGATTCAATTCTTGAATTAAACCATTAGAACATTACATAGGGACTATCGGGGTTTTCTTCTCCTTCTTCCAAAAGCACGAAACAAACTAATTAGACCATTACCACATTCTGTTGATGCGCTTATGGAAGCACACGGGGCACTGGCATGGGGGCACTGTCAATATACAACACAAACTATTTTTTAAGTTATTTTAGTAATTCTTCTAACTGGTAAAATTCAAACAGCAGTTTAAATCGTTTCTTATACTCTTCATAATGATAGTAATCCTCTAGTTCGTCCAAAATCGCATTTAATCTAGCATTGTATTTTCTTATGTTCCTTCGTTCTTCTAACCAACTTTTCTTCTCTTCCTCTTTTTCTTTCTTAGGAAATAAACACTCCATATATATATTATACAAATTTCTTACTAATTTTTAGTTTCAAATCATTTAGTTCAAACTCCAACCTTTCTATGTCTTTTTTAATGACCTCGATGTCTGTTTCAGTTCCTTCTAATCTTTGTTCGCATTCCTCAGGGGTAATTCTATTGTGTCCCCATCCAGTATCGCATACTTCAACGCTTCCGACTTGAACGTCAGTTTTGAATATACCGTTTTCGTCGGGCGATACATGACGTCCGGTAGAACCAAATTTCAAATTTCGTCTATCCTCTATGACATTTGTTGTAACTATGTTGTTTTCCTGTGTTGTTTTAGTCTCCTTATGATAAGATTGTCTTTTACACCTACATGGGATACACGATATACCATTAGCGTTTATGAAAAACCCTTTCTTCTTTTCGCTTTCTGTTATATCGCTCATTTATACTATTTAGATTTCTTAACATTTTTCAAACAAATAATAACTGCTTTTACAAACTCTAATGATAAATAGCAACATCGTTTTACCTTACTATCTTTTATTACCTGTGCCTCTACTACTTCTAAACCGTTTATCGTTTCAATATAAGCATCATATTTCATTATATATTTAAATCATATATTTTCTAATTAAGTAATAATTATGAGTGAAACAATTCCAACTGTAGAACCAATAGACATACCCGAATACAAATACAAAAATTCTAAATATGGAATGATGCCCAACCTACCCGCTAGGATGCTATGTGTGGCTTCATCAACTGGTGGTAAGACGGTGCTTATCCAAAACTTAATATTAAAAATCTACCGAAACTCCTTTGAAAGGATTTACATTTTCTCACCGACCGTTAATGTTGATGACACATGGACGCCCGTTAAGAAATATATAACCGATGTAATGAAGGTTGATACTGAAAAGGAGCAGGTTTATTATGAAGAATACGACCCTATAGCATTGAAGAAGTTAATAGAAACACAGCATAAAGTCATTGATTTTCAGAAGAAGAATAAACAAAAGGATTTGTTTAGCATCTTGATAGTTGTTGATGATTTCGCAGACGACCCCAAATTTGTAAGATACTCAAGCATTCTTCACGGCTTATTTACTCGTGGAAGACATAACGCCATCTCGTGTATATTATCTACTCAAAAATACAATGTTTTAGCACCAATAATTCGCTTAAATGCTAGTGCTTTGTTTATATTCAGGTTGAAGAATATGAATGAAGTTAATAGCTTCCTAGAAGAAAACAGCGCGCTAGTTGATAAGAAAACACTTTACGATATGTATCAACAGGCCGTTAATTTTGCTCCTTACTCGTTCTTCTACATAAACACCAACGCCAAGGA